GCAGCCATTTCAGCAGGATGCTATCTTAACAACTGCTTACGTTAGACGACCATCTTTGTTATTTTTGCAAGGATTCATGGAATTTTACATCTGAAATTCACATTAATAACATGCCTAGCCAAACAACAGAGGATACAACCCTAAGGGCATTATGCAGTTTCCTATTCTGTTTAGGAGATTGATAAAATCAGATTTCATACTTTGGTGGGTTTTTTGTTGTTGTTGTTGTTGTTGTTTTTTTTTATTAATCTAGTACACTCCTCAGTCAACTGCTTTTGTTTTTCTGGTACAGAGGATTTCAGAAAAATAGAAAACTCAGCATAAAAAGCCAGGTCTCCTCAAACAGCACAGGAAATCTGGCTCATGGAGAGTGAAGCATCCCTGCCCTGAATTGACCTGGCTCCTCGAGGTGCCAGCCCCTGGAAGCATTGTAAAGCCATGGATAGTTTCCATCATTAGTCTCTGACACCAGAAACAGTGCCTGGGGGAGCGAGGCAGGATGAATGCCAGCCAGTCCACAGCAAGGCTCTCATGCCTGGTTTTGTTCTCCAGACTCCTCAGCCATCCTTGAACAGGCCCTGTGCCTCCAGGCACTGCCTCTGCCTTGCCATGCCTTTGGCTACTGTAGGGATGGAGCACAGCAAGGAGGAGACAAACTATCCTCTTTTCAGAGGGAGGATCAAAGACCAAAAACCCCAGCTCTCCAGACATGCTTACAGCCTCATCACAATGTACTAGACACAATGGCTGGAGTAAAATTTTGCAATAAACTGGACACCCAGCAATGGGTACAGGGTAAGATCTGACCTGCTGAAAATGTAGCAGATTAATGGAGATAAAGAAATCAATGGGACGGTGGTGAATAGAAAGAAAAAGAAAAGTTGAGGTATCCCAGCAGTTGTGTTTTCATAAAACATTGTTCTGGTTCAATCTTGTGTTTAATCAGAAGTACCTGGGTGCTTTGGCATCCTGTGAAGAGCTCTCCTATGCTGCAGCTGAAAAACACACACTTGTAATCGCAGACATTCACCTTTTCTGCAGAACTGTACCCTACAGATGTATCAGTTGCTGGCAGACTCTGACCTATGCAAAGCTGTGAATATTAGTGGAAAACGATGAAACCCCATTTTAATGCATCCACTGGAGGAAGCATTTGTGAAAGCATTTATTCCACATGGGAGAAATCTCATCTGACCTAGTTTTCTATTCTGTTTGTTACCTCCTGGCTGTCTCATCTGAGGTTCCACCTGCTGTTTCTCCATCTGCCAGTCTTTTTTATATCAGAGGAACCTTCCGAGTTACATGTTAAATGTCAGGCAGGCTGGAGAAAAGTTGTTTATATCTGCATTTAAGCAGATGATATTTCCATTAAAGGTGCTTCATGGAGACACTAAAGGCTAAGATGTCATTTGCATTTGGTTATTACAACTCACAGGCAGGCCTGCTTGTGTGAAAAGTCATGCTATTATTTCAGAACTTCATACATCCAAGCAGAATGACCATACCCTGTGAAGTTCATTATTAGTGTCTTTTTCAGTAGTATTGAAAGCCTCAAACTAGGGGCCAAAAAGTTACCAGATAATTTAGTTGAAAGTCACTGGAAACCAAAACCACTAACAGGGAAGCACCTGTTTTCTCCCACTTACCTCCTAAGCTATTTCAGAGCAGAACACAAAGAGTTAGTTTGGATTAATGTTTGGATTAACTCTTTAAGTTACCTTAAAGAGTAATTAAGGCTGCAATACTTAAGGGCAACCACCCCATTCAAACCCAGCACTTGAGGTATATTTTGCCAGCATATAAAACAAAGCTAGGCTGAAAAAGCCTGGTAAGGACTAAACTGTGGGATTATCAAGATATCTATCTTTGCTTTTCTGCTACTTTTGCTATTCACAGATACTTTGCAAAAAACTTCCTTTACTTTCAGCAAGTTAGGGATCAGGGAGCATCACCTCCATCACGTATCATCTGCCTGACAAAAAAAAAAAGCACTGCATAGCCAGTGCCTCAGGAAACTCTAGAACCAAGGGTTTCAGCAGTAATTTCCTCTGAAAAAAACATGCAGAAGAAATGAAGTGGAAACTCACCATGTCAGTGCAGACTGCCACACAATTTGTACAAGAAGATCAAATGTATACTGGAACTATAGCTGCCCTAACACACCTATATGAAGCCAATAGGAATATTTTCACAGATTTCAGTGAACTTTGGATCAAATCTTAGGAGCAATTAAGTAGTCCTGTTTTGTAGATTAAGATTTTATGAATAAGTGTAGGCAGACCTGTCTTTCATTGTGCTCCTGGAATTAGCTCAGCCTTTAAATGGACAGCTGTAGATCTTCCACTCTCCCAGTTCTTGTAGGAGGTGGTCTCAACTTGGAGTTTGCTGCAGCTGTTTGACCCACTGTCCATGTCTGATTCTTCCACATGAGCATCCCTGGGCCTAGACTGTCCATGCTATGAAAAGCAGGATGAATAAAATTTGTGCTGCCTGTAGAGATACAGGCACATTACTTTTCTTTAAGTTTATGACATTGAAATTTACCTTAATTTGCCTTCAGCTGTCTTGAGGGAATGAAGAAAGGTCTTTGGTGGGGAGAGGAAACACTTGAAATTCATTATGCAAAATTCATGTAACACAAGTATTAACAGTATGATTTACAGAAATAAAAACATTATTACAATGTGTTTAATTAGGAACCATTACAAGACCAATTACAGTTGTCAAAATAGAACAAAAAAGCAACATGTGTTTTTCCCCTGGAGGAGTAGGATATGGTGAGGCTCAATATTAACTCTTAATCAGACAATAGAAGATTGCTTTTCCTTTGAGTTAAAATCCAAGCGCTTAGAAAAAAAGAGCTCAGAGTTATATTCCCCTTTGGCAGACATTGTTTAAAAAAATTTTTAGCACACCAGCAGAATCATTTTTTAATACATAAACACTTTAAAAAAAATTGAATTCAACAGAATCTATTTAGTTGAGCTTTAGCACCCAACACGGTTATGACATTTGCAACCTGCATGCCAATATCCATCTCACTGCAAAAAGTAAGACACAATGACACTTGGTTTACCTGGAAAGGATGGTCAGGCAGCCCTTAAAGGAATCTAATTAAAATGCAGCTTGTTACCAGAGCAGTGCATCACACTGTGCTGCCATAGTAACCAGGGTCCCATGGACTTTTGGGGCCATCTGAGGGCGTGTTTGCAAGAGGTAGAGAAGAACCAAACTGATCACCTTTGGTACATTGTAAATGACCTAAAAACCCTGAATGATTTGCTGATATTACCAATTAAATAAATTAATTAACTCTTACATGTTCAGAAAAGGGACCAGTCTAAAAAAAACCCTCATTACTGTTCTTTATGATATAACATTCCCCACAGCTTATTTAAGAAGTACACTACTTACTTGCAGCATGTGAGCAACCAGTTTAAATTGATTCCCTGGCAAAGAAGCAATAGAGAAATCAAGACCTGGGTTGTGAAAGTGAAGATGAGCAACAGAAACACATATTCTGTTTAGACTGCTATTTCCAGTGCTATTTTCTGAAGTACCAGGCACAAGACTCAGCTCAGTTACTTTTGGTGGATGATTCCCTGCTGCCATATTGTGGGGGGAAAATCACACTACAGCACTGAGTTTTTCTTTCCAAGTCCTTCTCCTATAACAGAAATATCCTTCAACAATATTAACATATATATAAAAGCACTATCTTACATTGTACCCCATCCTAATATAATTTTCCAAGCATGCAATAGATTTGTAACTGAGGTATTCATTTTTCACAGTAAACATGTCCAGGTCAAGAAAATCTTTTGACACGTCACCTGTGAAAGAACTTCAACTCACCTGTTGGTGGGTTGCTACAGATTACCATGAAAGATTTCTGAAAATAAAAACAATCACAGGAATTTAGATTCTGTTAAGCAATTAAACTATTGATGAAAATACCTGAAAGTTGTCTGAAATGATCATTGCTTTGAAGAAAAATAAAAAGAGCTTGATAGCAATTCTTCTGTAATAAATCAAAGTCCCAAGAAATATTGGGTTGGGACTGGGGGATGACATGGGAAACTGAAGCACTGGTATTCTAAGCACCATGAAATCAGCAAGTTCATGTGACTTTGGCTCACAGTACTACATCATCAGCTCCCACTGTCCACAGATGGAATGGACACATAGCTGCAAAGATCTGTTTCATCTTGGACATGACAGTATCAGAAAGGTTGCAGAAATCCAGAAAAGAGCTCAGTTCACAAACAAGTTAAGAGTTCATCCTTCTTGGGTCTGTCTCTTTGAGCATACCAGTAACATGCATTATGTGGTTGTGCCTAAGTTTCCCCACTTTCAAAACCAGGCAATGATATTTACTTGTTACCCAGAACACTGAAAGGGGTAGCTGCAAGTCAACTTCAAAATGCTACTCAAGACTAGAGAACCTTAAACACAAAACCACTTCAGGTCACAGCTAACTCTTGATCCAAAATAACAAATAATAAAACACAATAGAAGTAAAACCATCTCACATTTAAATCTTTATACTGTATGGAAAAATATCCAGGCAGCACATGTCTAAAAATAGATAGTAGACTGTACTTCTGCAAAATAGGACTTTATACAAGACAAATTCATTGCAACTAAGCCATCACTGTATATCCCAGTACTTTAACAACCTTGGAACAGTAATTCTTCAAAGGGTCTCATGATTTCCTGATCATCTGCTGCAGCCCATTATTCATGGCTTCATTCCCTTTCAGGCTGCCGTTACAACAGCAAGTTTATTAGCTACAAACAAATCTACCTGTCAGCAAAGCTGCACCCAGCTGCAGTAGCTACTCTGATTTTCTTCTTCTTCATGATTTTTGTACAGACTGGGCTTATATTCTCTGATTTTGCTCCTCCAATTCCTTCAAAAGAAGCAACACAGCTTGAATGCTTCAACTGGGACTTTTGGAAGGAAAAGGTAGTGTTAGAAATCATCACTAATTTAGAAATTAATTTTTAATGGTTACATTTTATTTGCTTCAGTTGAACACCATTATTTACAGACACAAGTTAATAAAACACATCACAAAACAATAAAATTTCAACAGCTAATATTTATAGGTGCATAGTTCATGCTCAATTACTTTTTTTATATGTATAATACATACACATATATATAAAGCTCTCACAATAAGTCATCTCTGCACAGAAAGAATAGTCATAGGAAACAAAAACTGTATCAAACGATATCAAATTACTGACGGCCTATCAACAAAACATGTACAGAATTAGAAATAAGCAGTAGACACTTAGGTGTTTTTTATTTAATATTTTCTTTTTTAACTTTTAAACTTGAAGCCACAATATCCACAGCACAACAATGACCCTGCCAACCGGCTTTCATTTCAGCAGGAGGGAAATGCTGAAACAAGGTGGATGCAGTCACAGATAATCCAATCATTGCTGATGGAAGACTTCAAAAATACACTGTAAAAACTGTAAAAAAATTGAACAACTGGGCACAATTGGAACTCAGCACTCGTACAGGATGGGACGTCTTTAGTAGTTAGTAGATTTCAGGTGATAGAAAGGAAAGAACTCTCATGCTTCAGGTTCATAGTCTTGATACTCTTCCTATTGAGGGAAAGCAGAAATCAACACTACTGGTATTTTAGGTAAAGACATCCTATTTTCTCTACTTTTTCTACTCCTGATGGATTCAATGCCCAAATATTATGGATTCTCATGTGACCAGGATATGAAATGTATTTGTATTTTGCCATATTTTCCAGATTCTGTACCTTACAAGTCATGGTACTTAGACGAGAATTAGACTTTTACAGTGGTTAACACATCATCCAGCTGATGCTGCCAAGAACTCCTGAGGCCACCCATGACAATTCACTTGGAGAGGAAGGAATACTGCTACTGGGCTGAACAGCACAGCAGGTGCTGCAGATCCTCATATGAGTCAGTAAATCATTTAAAGGAGTATTTAACTATGGCCACATGAGCAGCATCTATAATTTCAGCGATATTCAAGATGTTATGCTCAAGCTTTTAAGTCTTTTATTGGATCATGGCCTAAATTTCTTATGCTTCTCATTTTCAGTCCTATTATCTGTGCTATCATAAAACTGCTAGTCCAGCTAACAGTGCATCATGCCAGACATTGTAGATAACTTGTTCATATAAACCAACAAAATAATTTACTCCCATAATTGCATTAATTAAAGATCATGCTTCACAAAGCATGGTGCATTGGTGAGTGGCCAAGCTATTAAAACCATCTATGAGATGCAGTTTGTCCTGCATTCCCTATTAAACATACAAAAAAAAAGGATTCCTCAAAAGCCAGGCACAAGTGTTTTGAAACACTGAAAATAAATTCCCATTTAACTTCCTTACCATCAAAAAGCAAATAATTTTCTGATTCCCAGCACTATAGCTCTGGCAGATCCTGGCCAAACAGACGATGTTTCTGCTGTGCCCTTGCAGCTCCCAGCACCAGCCTGGGCCAGGCTCATGTAACTCAAGCATGCAGCCTCCTCCTGTGCCTTTCTCTTACATGCATTCACAGCAAACACCACAACAGATTTACCTCTGGAGGCATTTCGTAAGCCTCGTTCTCAGGATCCACAGCAACACCTGTATTATTCACCATTCCCTCCTGCAGGAAACCTTCTTCATTCTACATTTAAAATAGGGAAAGAAAAGTGACTGTGACTGCTTGCTTCATTTCCACCAAGGTGAGAGTTTCCTCCCCATCAGTGGTTGACTTCTTGGCCTGTCCTTTGGTTGTGGGATGTTGCCAGGGGTCATGGAGAGCAAGGGGACATGAGTTGCAGAGAGATCTTCCCCATGTTTCCAGGGATATCCATGGGAATGACAACTATCATCTTTTTGAATAGCTGGGACCTCATTTTTTCCCTTACCATGGACAGGCCAAGAAGTCAATCTGAATAAAAGAACAGTACCACCACCAGCTTGCTGAATATCTTTGGAAAATATTTTACTCCCACAGAAATGCTTTGGTCAAGTCACAAAGCAAACCAAAACACATGCTTTTTCTGCCTTAAGAAACTGATCTGGGAAACAAAGTCCTGCACAAATGGTTTAAGTATCACATTAAATTATCACATTAATTCATGTTTAACTGTTTTGGGGAACACAGTGATAGGTATGCAAAATTGCCTGTAAAAACAAGGCCAATATCAAGGCACACAAAGGAAACAGTAATTCAATTATTTATTTTTTCAGTGTTATAGACACATCCACCCTCTTATAAAACATTACATTTAAAGTTTTAATATTTTCACAATACATTGCGAAAAGGGGGAAACATGCTGGGTTTTTTCTTCTGTTTTAGAACCTAACTGTATTGGAAAATGCTTTTTTTCCTTTAATGGATCATACCTTTACACGCTTTCTTATGTCAACCAGCATGTTACTCTATGCACTACTGGTATATGATACATGGCATGGTACTCTTACCGAGCTTCTTCAATTTTTTTCTTTATTATAGGAGCATTTCTATTACATACAGCAATTTTACTAAGAGACACTTGGAATTAACAAGATGGCTATGGTGTGAGGAATAACATGCAGAATAAGATTACTGAAGGAAGATCAGTCTTGTAGAATCACAGATACTCTGTACCATATGAAACAAACACAAAGGAAAAAACACACAACATTTGAATTGGGTCAATCCTCTTTGTAGTTGTTACTCCAGAAGTTCACAGAGATGCAGCATGAGCCCTGCCAGAGCAGAGGCTGCCGGCGTTCATCCTGAACTGTAAGAAAATTGATATGAAAATAGGCAGAATATTTCAATGGATCTATTGTGACTATGCTGACTTATAACAGGTGTCACTAAAACCAATTACAGACGCTCAGGAAGGAATTCATTTTAAAAACCCCACCTGCAGGTTGGTAGACAAAAATACAAAATTAAGTAAATCATAAGGCAGACTAATGAGATAATTCTTCAAAAAATCTACTATCTTATGATAGTAGTGGTGCTAAATTAAATTTAGGATACAGACAAAATGAGGATAAGAAGCTAAACCTGAAATTCCCCTCTGAAAGCTTAAAATAAAATAGAATATAAAATGCAAAAGAGGTGGCACTAAACCCTCTAACTTCACACAGTATTTATTGTGCTCCCCCGTTTGCCACATACTGGCTCCCTCTGTGGTTTAACCAGGTGACCTTAGTCATAACACTCTGTTCCTCACTTTCTGCACCACCCCAAGCACCAACTGTGACTTCATCTGCCACATACCAACCCTGTTCTTCCACGGATCAGTCACCTTTCTGATACATATGTAGGCACACATTTTTCATCCTCATCATCCAAGGTTACCATGTGCAGAATTTGTATCCATAATATAGATTCTTCTCTTCAGCTCTTATTTCAGACATCAATAGGTCCAGTATGAAGAGATATCTGGTCCTATTACTTCTCTATGCTTCTTCCTTTGGAGGTAAGCAGCACAGTCTGTGTGGAGTCGAACTGTTCTGCCAAGTTCCCTCCATGCATGTGTCTGCTCTGAGTCAACACCCTGAGCTGCTCTATAGCACAGGCAACGTGGACAAATTCCAAAAAGCCAAAGGACACCAATGAATAAAGTTGGAAGCACCTTTATTTAGGTATCTAATAGGCACCTGTGTCTTACAGAACTGCCAAAAATTTGGGGTGTTCAACATGAAAGGTAATTTTTCAGGTTTGAAGTGATGAGAAAAACTAGGCCCAATTACATTTCCACCTCATCTTATCAAAACACTTGAGCTCCCCAGATTACTTGATTTTAATATTTACTTACCTTACCTTCTAAACAAAATTTTAATAGCATTTATGCTCGTTTGCTTTTACTAGCTTTGACTGAAATAGCCAAATAAAGTGTGCAATGCAAATTTTCCATCTGTGACTGTGCCCTTGATCTAACAGACCAGCTCTAAGGACCTACAGCTCCTGTCGCATGCTCTCCTGCTTAATCCAAAATATTTAATTTCTGCTTCCCCAATCATTAAGGAACAGCTTCAGCTAACATCAAGTAAAACTGTGCCCAAAATAAGGACTGAGAATGTACAAGAAAACATGCATGCAGCTTAATGTTATCTGTAGCAGGAAAACAGATGGCAAGTGAAAATGCCAGGACCATTATTAACGACAAGGAAAAACACTTCCCAGCTGAATTTCAGATAAGAGCTTCAAAGTTTGTATGCTTGTTTTTTGTAAGGAACCGCTGCAATGGATCTGGACTGTCCCTCAGGATTACTGAGACACAACGCCTAAAAGACTGAATTTATCATCTTTCCAAGTCCCTTCAGCAAGCTCAGGATGTAGATTTCTCTACAGCTTCAAATAAACAATCAGCAGCACCAGAAAAACACATCATCAACCACATTTTCCAAAGGAAGTATAGCAAACCTCCAAGGGAACTCCTTGCCTGGGAAAGGTTTATCGCCTTTGCCCAGCTGCAAACAGCAACACAAACACCCCCTGTCATGTTGATGTCACTGCAGTTCAGATGAGGATGACATTACTCAAGGTCATCTGTTACATAAAAACGCATAGCAAAGGTGACCACCTCATTTTAAATGGTGGCATGCTCTGCTTCTGATGTACAGCCCCCCCCCCCTCAAAGTAAGGGTATCACAAAAATAAACCACCACCCCCAGTAACACAGAGCCACCTAAGGTACACCTTAAATCATATTTTACCTCCTTTAAAATAAAGGAATGCCATTTTATGTTGTTGTGATCTGTAACTTCATATCCTTATTCAGTTATGGAAGAGGAAAACTACCCAAAAGACCAATTCTTGTCTTAGTATGAAAGACATTTTTCTCTAGAAGCTGCAACCTCTCTCAACCACAGTGAAGGGCATTTCCAGAGGGAAAGATTTTTTTTATTAGATCACCTTAAAAGCTCAACTAAAGCTTCTTAGAGATTAAGTCAGTTTTTAACTGGGGAGCATGAACTCTTGTTGGAAAAACACTTAAAAGGGGAAATTGCAACTCACCCAATAAACAAGGAATGGTGAGGTGAGGACTACTGCTCATCCCCTATGGATTCCCTTAGGGAGAAATGAATACCCACCAATATGTCAGTTTGTAGCATGGTCAGTCTGGCTAAGTCTTATATATTGGCTCCAGAGAGTCTCATGCCCTCAGACCCCACATTACAGGAAAAAACCTTTTGTGCTATCCCAAGCAGAGTATACCACACTGCCATTCTCAGGCATTAAGAGGAGTGTCACTTTGTGCTCTCAGCACTTCTGCCTGTCTTGCTTGCTAAAGGCATGTGCCTGTGAGACTTGCACAAAGCCCATGTGCTGCCAGGCCATCTGGAAAGGCCACACACACTTTTCCCAGGAATACACGGCCACGTTACACAGTGTATACTCTCTCTTCCATGAGGTTCTCTTATTTCATCAAGCAACTTGTGTCCTTTTATAGACAAAGAGGTGATGTCACATCATCGAGAAGTGACACTTTTGCATTACCCTGGGTACCAGTTCTGACTCCAAGAACAGGTATGAAGATAATTGGTATACAAGAATGTGAAACAGAACTGCTGCGATGGCTTCAAAACATTGATTACTTCTCTTTTACTATGGGAATGAATCCTGCTAAGCTCTGTGCAAAATAGTGGGAAATTACCTACTTTTGCAATAAAATAATCAAACTAATGAAAAACTCCTCCTGAAGACCTGGTCCTGTTAAAATACAGAATATTTGACAAAACTTCAGAACTATTCCTTTTATGTTATGAATGTCACCAAATAGGTTTTTCTTATTTCGGTGGGTTTTGGTGAAAAATCACACTCCATTCTTTCCCTTCATTCTCTTTCCTACCTCATAACACTCTTGGTGGAAGGGAAGAGACTGTTTAAGATCCCCCATCCATGAAAAACAGATGAAGTGGTCGGCTCCTGGTACTGCTCCTATGTCAGCACCACATAGTCAAAGGGTCACCTTCAGGAGTCTGCATTCTGCCCTCTTGGTGACATTTTGGTGGTCTAATGCCAAGTTACTGCCACCAGAAAGAAGGTAATGTATCCCAAGTCAGAGACAAGAGTAACTTCAAAAGGAGGCATTATAGTTGTAATTTAGTGGCTGATCTAAACATTATACTTTACAATCTCCCAGGTTAGTAATATGTTTTTTCTCTCCATTATAAACACTGATGAAATCTTACAGTCATGCATAATTCTTATGATTACTGGAGACTAATTCCTCCTGGAGTGATTCCATATCCTGAGATAAATAAACTAGGCTACCAAACTGTCTGGTCTTAGAACATTTATACTGGCAAGAGGCAGTCACCCTGGAATCCAGGAACCACAGAGGTCAGAAAAGACCTCCAGAAATTGCCCACTTTGAGCAGGTTGCTCAGGGCCACTTCTGACCAGGTTTTAACCATTCCCACAGACAGAGACTCCAGAATCTCACTGGATAACCTCTTCCAGTGTTCAAATAAATACAGAGTGCTCAACTAAATACATCTTTTTTCTACATTTAAGCTGAGTTTCCTGCTCTTAATTTAGTGCTGAGTGCTTTCAGCCACTTCTGGCCAAGAATGTGGTTCAATCTCCTTTACCTCCACCCCCACTAGGTGTTTATACTCATTGATAAATACCTCCCCCCCCTCCCCCCAACTCATATTCATGTTGTTTCACAG